TATTTTGACTGACCAATACCATCCGCGTGCAATACGGCTTACGTATATATTCCTACCGCCGTTTATACCTCAAGTATAACGTTAGTCCGACCCGCCCGCCCGCCCATAAAACACGGCTATACCTAGTGCATGATACGTTTACTTACTTAAGTCGCTTTACTTGTATATATATATATATTCTAATTACTATTAAAATTTATATATTAACACGCTTTATTCTCATTAAGAGATATAAAGTTATTCATTCCGATTACAAAGGATGATTCCCGTATCGTCATTTTTTGTCACTACCTCCATGTTCCGGAAGTGGATAATTTGCGCGCCTGCTACATTCCTTGGATGTGGTAGCCGTTTCTCAGACTCCCTCTCCAGAATCGAACTCTGATTTCCCGTTACCCGTAACAACCAAGATATTGATATAGTAACTACAATTATAACATGAAACTAAAAAGTGAAAAATAAATATAGTTTAAAAAAATCACAAAACACGCTTTTAAAGCACATCGCACTAAAAAGTTAAAAATAATTTTTAAAATAAGCTTAAAACAATAATGAACGAAAAATACTAATATTATTGTGATAAAAGCGTGGGTGCACTTTGTGCCATATTTTTCGTATATTGAGCGCCCGATGCTTTTATCACAATAATACTAGTATTTTTCCTTCATTATTGTTTTAAGCTTATTTTTTAAGAAACTCATTCAAATCGATATTTATAATATCACAATATTTCATTATATTATTGATATCGAAATTTTACCAGAAAAACTGTTAATATCGAAATTAAATGGATATTTACTAATCTTTGTTGATCCCTACTCAGCAGTATAAAAGCTTCTATTGATACAATTTTTTTTCTCACTAGTACTAATATACATGCATACTCGTTAATTTTAGTTGTAGTTAGAAATTCATATTTAGCATGTGTTTGATGTAATTTTTAAAAATCAAAACTTTAGGTATTAGTATATTAAAATAAAATTTTCAACTTTCTTTCTTAAATATTTTTAAAGTATTACCTAATAGCTATTAATTCAAAATAAATACCTTTCTCTTACAATAATTTTGGTTGCTAAGTTATACAATCGTTTTCGTCATCGTGCCATATAATTGCGAAAAGATCATAAAAATAAAAATTTTTAGTAAAACCCATATTTTTCAATTATAATGAAAGAGAAAATCGAAAAAAAATTCTAGGTGTAATGCAAGACATACAAAGTTTCCATACAAATTTCAGTTTTTAAATTTACTCACAGATATCAAGAAAAGTCATAAAAGCTAAACTACGTCATCTACCCCACTTTACTTTACGTATTCCTGTGTGCAATAAATAAGGCAGTAATTCACTGTTGCCGATTTCTTAAAAGATTAAAAATATAATTTTACACTTCTATTAAACTTTATGCTTGTATTAATTTTCTTGTTAGTTTAATTCAAATGTTTATATTCTATTGATAATTATTAAAATAATATTGAAATCTCAATTCAAATACTTCATCATCACAAAATTGATTTTTAAATAAATGCCTTATTCGTTTTGCATAATGATATATAAACACTATGTTCAAAAGATAAATAGTAAATTACAGTTTTTAATACTTCTACATAGAAAACATGTCTAATCTTCACAGTAAACCTATGTTAACCAACCTTATTGTTAAACAAAAAAACATAAAAATAATCTTGAAATTGCTAAAAAAATTGAACTTTTAGACAAATTCTAGTGTTAATTTTTATACATAAATAGAATAAATAAGCAGAAGATAAAAAAAAAAGTATCTTTATGTATCAATATTAATATTTACATATTGTCATAGAAATTTTTAGATTTTATCGAGTCTGCAGAACATGGGGTGATATACTTTAGTTTAGGTACAGTAGCAAATCCTGCAATGCTCCCCAAGGCTAAATTACAAATATTTATTAGCGTATTTAATAAGTTAAAACAAAAAATAATGTGGAAGTGGAGTCAAGGAAAAACACCTCAAGTGTCGGATAATGTTATGATAAGTGATTGGTTTCCACAACCAGATATCCTAGGTAAGTAATGTAAATCAAAATTCAAATGAGCATGTCAAGAATCCTTAAATTAGTCATAAAAACTGTCTAGAACTATTTGCTAATAGATGTTGAGCGAAGAACATTGATTCATTATATCTATACCATTTTAAAGGTCACTCAAATGTAAAACTGTTTATTACCCATGGTGGTCTACATAGTCTTGAAGAAGCATCATATAATGCCAAACCTCTCATTGGTATACCATTTTCTGGCGATCAGCATATGAACATGCGAATTGTAGAAGAAAAAGGTTTTGGAAGGATGATTGACTTTTTTACAATGAATGAGGAATCTTTATTGTCTACAATAAAAGATGTACTTGAAAATCCAATGTATGTACTGAAAGTTTAAAAATATAAGTAAATTATTCTTACTTTTATATTTGATTATGTAGATACAGAGAAAAGTCAATGCATCAGAGTCTAGTTTATAAGGATCATTTATAACACTAAAAAAAATAGTAAATTTAATAATATTGTAACTAACTTCTTTTGCAGGTACAATGAAAATTCCATTCGACAAAGTCTTTTATATAGAGACCGAGACATGAAACCAATAGACCGAGCAGTATATTGGGTAGAATACGTGTTGCGTCATAAAGGCGCAAAGCATTTAATAAGCCAGAGCACTCGTTTGAATATATTTCAATACTTCCTCATAGATGTATTTATTGTTTTTGGTTTTTTTATAATGATCGTGATATTCTTAGTTTTAAAGATTTTAAATTGTCTTTTCAAATATAACAAATCAAAACTTAAAACGGCATGATCTTTTTTATGTTGTTATTATGATAAATGTAGAAGTTCATTAAATCTACAAAATAAATTTTTATAATTGTTGCTGAAACAGTAAATAATTGTATGATTTTTCAATAAATATTGTAAAGAATTAATGTAAACGTTAATTTTAATAATTAACGTTGATTATTGAACATATATAATATTATAATATGAAACGATGCACGTCCCAGTTATGTAGTCGATATTGGTTTCAATGGTAGAGACCCGTGCGCCGTTTGTTATTCATGAACAACAACAGATTATTTAAAAAAGGATCTACAAAACGAACGCAATTAAAAATGTTGTTCGCATAGTCTTCTGACGTCAAAAAGTTAGCAGCATTGATACTCAACGTATCATATGCGGCGGCGGGCCGTCGTCGGTCGTGTGACACTTGTTGGACTTGGCACCGTGGCGCATGACCGCGGTGTTGGTCAGTCAAACTACCAAATATCGTTGTCGGGCGACGGTTGAAAAAGGTGGCGCGGGTGGGCGGGACACGTGTATCACGAAGCGACGCAGGACCGTGTCAAATATTATTCTTTTTTCGTTTAAATAAATCATAACTTTATCTTATAACTGAATTTAGCATTAGTACATTTTTTCGTTTAACGTTAAAAAGAGTTCGATAGATAATTCTCGACCAAAAGCAGTTTTTAATATTTATTTTTTCTTACACAGAATTTTCTTGAACATTACGTTTGAAAAGTATTATTTTCGTTTAAATCAGAACTACTTTACTTTATAAGTTGTATCATGCTTAACTATGTTTTATGTTTATCAATAGGTATCGCGTAGTATTGATTTTTTGTTTTTCTTTGTAATTGTAACGTCTTATATTTTAAGTATTAATTAATTAAATTTCTTTATTCGAGAAAATTTTCCCTGTATATTGTTGCTCGTAGTTACCATAGTATTTTAGTACTCTATGACAGACTTCTGAAATTTGAATTTGAATTATTATTTTTGATTACTGTTTATCATATTATATCGTAAATTTTACAGAAAGGTTTCACTTATAAAGATTACTGTTAAAAAACGTTGAAGTAAGATTGTGAGTTATATATTTTATATTATGTTTAAAAAACCCAACACAGGGGGGTCGCGGCACAGTGGTGACGTGGCATAGTTGGATCAAGTATAATGATATCTGATAGTGATTAAAATCACTATAAAAAAAACGCTTCGATGCAAATCTTTAGATAGTGTTTAATTTTAAAAAATTGGTGAATTATTCCAAAAGCTACATGATCTACTATTTTCTTATTAATATCCTGAATTAAAAAGGGATTATTAAAAAATATTATTTCTCATAAAAAAATTATGTTGATCCAAACACTTCAATAATTTATAGCATTATAAACTTAAAAATGTAAAAAATAAAATCAAGAATTTTCACACGAAAATAGCATTTGGTAGCCATTTTCACCNAATTTTTTCACAAATTCACACGAAAATAGCATTTGGTAGCCATTTTCACCACGAAGACAAGTCCAGAGGTCAAATTTTTTTTCCATAATAAAGTACATTACATTATCTATAATTTAAGATATATATAAAAATGTTAGACCTTCCGGAACACTTTCAAAAGTTGAAAAAGTTGTCATTTTAAATCCCCCCCTGTGGGCAGATAAAGAGTTTAATTTATAAAAAAAATATACCAAATGATAGGTAAAGACATCAAGCATCTATAAAAGAAAAAATTATATTGATATGTTCATTTTTTAAAAAGTTATGGCAATTTTAAGTAAAAAAAATTGAAAAAATTTCGAAAATTAGCAATTTTTAAANAAGTAAAATAAATTGAAAAAATTTCGAAAATTAGCAATTTTTAAATTTGTAATTTTTTGGAGGTTTCCCCCATTTACGGGGAACGAGGGAAAATTTTTCAATTTTTGANATTTACGGGGAACGAGGGAATTTTTTTCAATTTTTGAGGGTAACGTCTTCGACTAGATACGATTTGTGATCTTTTGACGTATCATTGAAAGAAATCGGTTCGGCGAGGGCTGAGGAAAAGTGGTAACAGACACAAAAAAAAACGGTAGCACAGTGGGGTCGAGGCACAGTGTGGACGAGGCATAGATGGGACAAGTATAGATTATATCTGATAGTGATTAAAATCACTATCATAAGAAACGCTTCGATGCAAATCTGTAGATAGTGTTTCATTTAGAGATATTGGTGGATTATTCCAAGAGCAACATCANGCAACATGAACTCTTATTTCTTTAATTATATCCTGATTAGTAGTTCTTTGATTTTAAAATATAATATATGAATAAATACTAATTATAATTATTAAATTTAGTATGAAATTGATATTCAATAATTTAATATTGTAATTTAAACGGAGAAATTATAAAAATAATAAAGAAGTTGTATTTTGCTTTATTTTTACGTGTATAAAAATTTAAAGGGCTTGATACAATAAATTTCAATAATAACTGTTTGTTACTATAAATAAATGTACTGAACTACAAGGCACTTTCATCAGTAACAAAAATATACCATTCTAAATCAACTTTTCGCGATGTTTTCAAATCTGCAATTAGACTTTTTCTATCACTTCTAAGTTTTAATATTATTAAAAATTAGTATTTTTATATAAAAAATTCGCATCGAAACTAAAAAATTGGCTATTTAAGATAACTCAAATTTAAATATTACTTTTTCGACTTTAAAAAAGTAAAAAAAATTTAATAAGTTTAATTTCTTATGTCTTATGAACTTTATTCTATGTCAATTAAATTATATAATATTCATGAAAGTCAATATATTCTCCTAATAAGATATTTTAAAATAAAATAAAATACAAAACCTAGAATTTTAATAGAAAAATAGTATATTTTTGAATACGGTAGCCATTTGCGCATAGAAGATAGGTCGTCGGGACAATTTTTTTTTTCATTTTATAGTACATAAAATAAGCTTTAATTTGATATATGTTTAAGGACTCAATATTTTCGGAACATTTTCAAAAATTAAGTTGAAAAAGTTAGTTTTTGTAAAAAAGTTGCTATTTTAAATCCCCCCCAATGACCAGGTTAAGTGTTAGATTTTCAAAAAAATAATATCAAATAAAAGGAAACTATCTAAGATTTTATTAAAAAAAAAAAATTATGTTGATTTGTTTATTTTTGAAAAAGTTGTGGAAGTTTTAAGAAAAAAAAGTGATAAAAATGACAAAATTTACCGATTTATAAATGTGTAATTTTTTTGGATATTTCCCCCATATGCGGAGAACGAGGGAAAATTTTTCAATTTTTAAGGGTAATGTGTCCAACTAGATACGATTTGTGACCTTTTGACGTATTGTTGAAAGAAATCGGTCCAGTTAGGGCTGAGGAAAAGTGGTAACAGACACAAAAAAAAAAAAACATCATGGTAAATTTATACCTTCTCAGCTTCGCGTCGAAGCTAAAAACACGTGACAGTTTTTTGTACTAAAGAGGGAGTAACAGAGAACACATTTTTGATACATTTTTTAATTTCTTAATACCTCATGGTATTGAGAGAAAGGATCAATGAGATATATTCAATGTACTGGTAAGCAAATAAATACCCAATAGACTTTCATCATATCCTTCGCTTCTATTGATCCTCCTAAAAAGTATGAACTTTTTCATTTTCAACGAAGAATAAAAAATTTTTTTTTTTGCTGTTTTTTCATGCAATTCTTGTTAAAACAGGTTGCTTATACATATTCACGTAATTACAATTAATCAATAGTTTCACGATAAGATAAAATACATTGATATTTTATTATAAATTTTAAAATAGTTTTGAAGGGTATCTAATTTATCTTCTAATTTAATTAACACATGTTCATTTTATACAATCATTAGATCATTGTTATAACATCTGACATAAAATAATTTGTCTAATAGGTCTTATCTTATACGTATAACAAAAAAAATAGATGTTTACTATAATTTGTAGTAAATAAATTGGAATGGGAATCAACCTTTTTATATTATCTTAGTATAATACTTGGATAATTAACTTGCGATCTAAAATAATCATATAAAAATTGAAATATTTTTTGAAACAACGAGTAGTTCATTAATTTTCAGACAAAAAATAGTGTTAACCGCAATACAAATTTTATATTAATTAGTTCAAACTTTTTTTTTTTCAAATGTAATTTAACGTACATATAAAATTTATACAAATTAAAAATATAGAAAATTCAAATTAAATTAGAGTTGAAAAAGGTATTTATAAATGTGTGGCTAAATTCTTGAAAAATAATTTAAAATATTGGTCAGAAGGAAAGATTAACTCTTTAATAAACTATTGGAATAATTTTAAATTATTACCTTTAACTTAACTAGAAATCGCAATTATATGCATTTATAAATTTTATTTGAACCATTTTAAAAAGACTGAAGTTTGAGCAAATTTTTTATTGGAATATAAAGTGTGGTGGAAATATTTTTTTTAGGGGGGAATAACCCCTTAAAACTCCCATAAATACTATACTCCCAGTTAACTCAAATTACTACGTTTTTTATCTTATTAATATCTAATTGTACTGGTTGTTGATGTGTTAGGAATAACTTGACTAAATATATAAATGCATACAAATCGAATCTTTCCTCATTTATTATATTGTTTAGCATTAAATTATATTTATTTTTTATAAATTATAATTAATATATAAGTAAATTCTAAATCATAACATAGTTTTTTCATATAGTTTAAAAAATAATCTTAAATTAAGTTTTTTTTGCTATAATATTTTCAACTATTCAAAGTTAATGATCAATTAAAGTGGATTTATTTTAAATAAAATTATCTTTCTCGTTAATTAGATAAAAATTAGACTTTTAGGCTTACAAGTCTATTTTTATTGTAAACATTTAATAAAATTAATAATTGAATAAAAAAACTAATGAATTATGAAATATTTGTTTAGTATTTATTAATAAAGCAAAGTCTACTTAATCTGTAATTATTAAATTTACACTTAAAAACATAAGAACAAAATATTACACTATTTTGTATAAAGTTGTTTTAATACCAATAGTTTCCTTATAATAATAAAAGTCACAAAAACTAAAAAAGTAATATTAAATCAAAGAATTTTAAATTAGTTTTATAGGATAACTATTAAAAAACGTTTTATTTTAGTATTTTATGCGGGCGCTTTGCCAATATTTAAAAAATTAATTCAATTTATCGAATTAACAAAAGTAATATGGTCGCATCAACTTTAGCTGCATCTCTTTCAATTTTTTAGTTGAGTAAAGATACTGCAAATCTAATGACTTTAAAATCTAATATAAATAATGTATACCAAATATTAATAAATATTTACTTAAAGTTAATTTAAAAATAAAATTATATAACTATAAATATTTTAATATAATTTTATTTTTAAATAATTTGTCACAAGAGATAAATTTTTTATTATATTTTATATACTTAGAGTAAGTAAAAAAAAATTTTTTTTAGATATAAATTCAAATAATACAATTATTGTATTTATCTTAAGTATATAATTTTAACGATGACCAGTAAAACTCAATGGATTTTAAGTACTCTTTATGTTTCACTTGCTACGATAACAATATCAAAAGCTGCAAATATTTTAGTATTTGCACCACTGCCCTTCAAAAGTCATTTTGGAGGATTTCAACCACTTTTTCAAGAACTGGCTCACCGAGGACATAATGTTACCGTAGTTAGTTCATTTCCATTGAAAAAGCCCATTGAAAATTATACTGATATTGTTGTAGGCATCGACAAGTCGTTTGCTGAAGGTTGTTAATTAATTAATTTTAACATATTAATTTTATTTTATTTTAATGTAAGATTTTAAATTGTAGGATTAAACCCTATGGTTAGCTATAATTTTTTTACAGTTGTACCTCTTCTATGGAATTTATCAACTATGTTAGCTTTAGCCATTTTTCCTAAAACCGAAGTTAAAAATTTCATACAATCCGACAACAGTAAATTTGATCTTGTTTTTGTATACACATTTGGTCAACAATGTTGTGTAACATTAGGCCACAAATATAATGCACCAGTAATAAGTTTAAACGCACTTAAGCTGGCACAAAGCAATACCAAATGGATTGGCGAATCATTTATGTATTCTTACATACCTGATGCTAGAATGGAATCTATCGACAAAATGTCATTTATAAATAGGTTCAAGAATACAATTATCGGATTTTTACAGTTGTTTCCCGAAGATTACATGAATCTATCTTACCAAAAAAAAATATTGAATACTAACTTTAAGTACAAAGGTTGGGAGAGTAGACCTTCTTTGGAAGACATGTTGAATAATGTATCATTAACTTTAGTTAATGGTCATTATAGTGTTGGTCTAACAAGACCTTATTTACCAGGAACCGTTGAAGTAGGAGGTCTTCATATAAAAGAGCCAAAACAATTAAAAGGAGTATGTATTAAAAGTAAAATTAGTAATATCATCCAGTAAAAAACAAATATTCTGTGTGTATTTTAGTTAAAATATTTTTCATAGAAATTACTGGAATTTGTCGAATCTGCCGAGTTTGGAGTGATATACATTAGTTTCGGTACAATAGTAAATCCTGCAATGCTTCCTGAAAAATATATACTGACGTTCATTAATGTTTTCAAAAAACTAAAACAAAAAGTTATGTGGAGATGGATAGCAGAAAGACCATCTAACCTTTCAGATAACGTGATGATAAGCGAATGGTTTCCTCAGGCGGATTTATTGGGTAAGAGCAAGATTATTAGTAGATACTAAGAGCTCAGATATAAGAATACCAAACTTTACTTTTAATATAGGCCATCCAAATGTGAAATTGTTTATTACTCACGGTGGATTGCATAGCTTTGAAGAAGCGTCATATAACGCCAAACCACTTATTGGTGTTCCATTTTTTGCCGATCAGCACATGAACATGCGAATTGTAGAAGAAAAAGGTTTCGGTAAAATGATTGATATTTATTCAATTGACGAGGAATCCCTTTTGTCCACGATAAACGAAGTACTTGAAAATCCAAAGTATGTATTAATAAATAAATAATAAGTAAAAAATACATGTAATAATCTAAAAAATTGTATATGGGTCAATATCAAAGTTTTAATGCATCAAATATTGTTAATATTTACAAAAATTACGATTTTCTTAATTACGAATAACATACTCAAATTAACTAGTAATGATTGTATTGAAATTGATAAAACTGTTGAGAAATTAAAATAATAAGAATAACAGTAGCAAAGTATAGATGAGGCATAGTTAGGACAAGTGTAGATGATACCTGACACTGATTAAAATCACTATTATAAGATACGCTTCGATTCAAATCTGTATATCGTGTTTAATTTAGAGAAATTGGTGGATTATTCCAAAAGCAAAAATTGACTCCTATTTTCTTAATTATATCCTGATTTATTAATCAGGATATATCTTAAATCTAAGAACTATTGTTCTTAGATTTAAAAGTTTAATTTATGAATAATATTTATTATAGAAATTAAATATAGTATTAAATTGATATTAAATAATTTAGTATTGTAATTTTTACGGATAAATTATAAAATAGTATATTTTGTTACTTCTATGACAAATATGTACAAAAATAAAAGGGCTTGATGCAATACCTAATAAAATAATTTCTTTTTAAAACTGCTATAACTTTTATGGCAAACATGTATAAAATTTGAAGGAGCTGATACAAAACTTTTCAAAAAATAATTTGTTGATAATTATGAATTGTCTACAAGGAATTTCGTCAGAGTATACCTTCTTCAGCTTCGCATCAAAGTTAAAAGATAATTTGTTAATGTGTACCATTTTTGTAAAATTAAAAGCATAATCCTCGGTAGTATAGTGGTAAGTATCCCCGCCTGTCACGCGGGAGACCGGGGTTCGATTCCCCGCCGGGGAGGATACTTTTTGCATAATTTTCTAAAGTTACTTATTAAGCTGGTCCAAAAATATCATTTCATTTTCATTTTTACTTACTAAAAATCGGTCCAGTGAGAGCTGAGAAAAAGTAGTGACAGACACAAAAAAATAAATAAACACATCATGGCAAAATTAATACCTTCTCAGTTTTTTATCGAAGCTAAAACTTTAATTTTTTCAAATCACACATTTATAGCACTAAAAAAAAAATAGTAAATTTAATAAGATTGTAATTAACTTCTTTTGCAGGTACAATGAAAATTCCATTCGACAAAGTCTTTTATATAGAGACCGAGATATGAAACCTATAGATCGAGCTGTATATTGGGTGGAATACGTCTTGCGTCATAAAGGCGCCATGCATTTAAAAAGTATTAGTGTTGAGTTAAACACATTTCAGTATTTTTTGATTGATATAACTATGACTTTATTCATTTGTACATTTATATTGGTATTCTTAATTACCAAACTAATTAAATGTATTTTCAAGTCTAATTGTAAAATAAAATCCAAAACTATGTGACATTAATTGTGTAATTTGTTTGAGATATTTAATCGTTTCTGATAAACGTTGATTTATTTGAAACGCGTCAATGGAATGTGTTATTTAACTTTTTGTTATAGAATATAAGTATAAAAATCTATAAAATGTGTAGAATACTTTTTTATGTATACAAAATTTATATATTTTTCACATTTTAAATTTTAAATAAATAAAACAAATTTGAAATTTATTATATCAACAACGCTTTCATTTTTACTATTTATATATTTCAAAAATAAAAAGCAATATTAAACTTTACTTTAAATTGTCTACAAGCGCTTATACAAATATCTAAAAATTATGCATATTTATGTCATGTAAGATATTACTCTTTATGTTATGATGTATTTAATAGTAAATTTAATAAGAAAAAATGCAAATATATCATCAATATTTACAAAGCGCATAGCTCCTAAAATTAATTATTTTCTAATTGTTTGATAAAATGTTAATGGAATACAACGTATTATTTATTATTATACATACTTTATAATTATACTCAGTTTCTACTGAAATTATACATTACTATGTAATTCGCTATTACATATATTTTTAATTACAATGTAAGACTAACACCATAACATTATTATAAATAGTGATTATCTGTTCGAAATTTCAATTATTTAACATAATTTATTAAAATAAAACTATATTTATCATTAAATATAATACAAATATATATGTAAATTAATATAATATTATGTAAAAATCTAAATGTAGTGAAACATATCGGTAAGGTTTAAAGAATAAAGCAGTAACTTTCTTTTATCGATTTTTTTGAGTTAAAATAAAATTTATTCATTTATTTAAATGATAAAGCAGTCCAAATTAATGTATAATAATCTTAATTGGCAATGTAATAAGTAGTAAAACAAAGCTAATATGTTTAAATTACAAAATACGTTTGTTAGTTTACATACTACAAAAAGAGAATAGAAAAATATTCATAGGTAATAAAATTGACGTACATATAAAAGACAATAGTATAAAAATTAAATTAATATTTGCATGTTTTTTTAATTTTCCAAGTAACTTTTTGATGCAATATGTTCTATATTTTGATCAAAATAATTTTTGAAACAGTCATGTTTAAATTTAAATATCCATAATTTTTTGAGTAGGACATATCAATATTTGCAAGGTCATCAACAGCCTTAGTAATTTTAGTAAATTAAGACATATTTTTTCTTTATAAAATGAAAAACAATAACTATGCTTTACTTAATTTTTCCAACCCAACCCAAAGTACTTATTGCGAATAACTCCGTCTGCTCCGCTCGACTTCGTCCGGAAGAGGATATGTTGTCTGTAATCTTACCGTCAATTTCCAGAGTTTGAAGCTCCTGTGGGGTAATTTAACCAAGCTCGCAAGTAAGGAGGTAATATGAACTGAAGAGCATGTAGTTATAGATAATAAGCGGGTTTTGTAATTATTGTTAATACCATCTTATTACATTATTTTGTATATTTACAGTGTGTACTGTACATATTGTGGTTTTATTTGAATTATAAATAAGTGGCAATACACAATCCAATGGAAATAATACTTTAAGGCTAGTTTGTTTTAGAATACATTACGTGAAAAAAAAACAAAAATTGTACAATCATCTATTTTTTGTTAATATACTCACGTTCTACTTCGTTTTTAAGGAATTTTTTTACGTAGACGTTTGACTTTCTGAACTTCAATCAAAGTTTGTAAGCAGGTATCCTGCATATTTTTATTCTCTAGTAAATAAGATTTATATCACGTATGATTAATTGTGTGGTAGTTAATATTTGTAGGTCATTTAAGGTAGCGCACACACATGAAAATTTTGGGGGTTTAATTTTACCAGAAACTTGCTTGTTTTTATAGTTTTCTTACGCTCACCTGTCACTCAAGCATTATGTATTTTATTACTTTGATAATTTTTTTTCGTTGAGGACTTCACGTGTCCATTTTTATTGAGATTCCTATTTGTTGATTTATTAGTGTTATAAATAAACGACCAGGAGCTAATGCTAATGTCTAGTTCCCCTCGAGTTGTTTTCGAAAATTCATTGCGAGATGAAAAGCTATACTTTATTTAAAACTAATTTATGCTTTTATTTGTTTGGCAAAAATCAGTAGTTTAGTTTTTAATCTTAATAAACATTCATTGTAATGTTATAGTATTTTATTTTAGTTCATTGCTCTAATTTCTCATGTTGTAAAAAAAATAACTACCCACATGACAATATCGGACATGTTTTTTATGATTGTACGTTCTTCTTTAATTAATGTTACAGTGGAAATAAAAGGTATATAATATAATAAACATATTAAAACTAAAATACTAGTCTTTTAATTCTAAAGAGGAGAAGAGTTTAAAGAATATATTCATTTTTGAAGCTGACATGTCAAATAATGGTAAGTCAAATCAATTTGAATAAATATAAATAGATAGTTTTTGAAAGGGGATGGTCTAGTCAAAAATATTAATTTTTCAGGAGACAAAAAATAAAAAAAACTTTTCTTATGACAAATGAAACATATTTTAACACGATAAAAAAATGCAATGATAACGCTAAACGTAATGAAAAATATATGATTTGAATTGATCGCCTACACTCACATTTATCCAAATATAATAATATAGCAAAAGTAAAATAATCAATAACCATCACTCATCTAAAAAATAATACCATTTACATTCCTAAAAAAAAATGCTTAATATTAGTAAGAATAACAGTTTTTAATTTGAAAAATAAACGTTAAAATTTAACATTTATACATTATAATTTAATGTATCATTTTGATACATCATAATATTTTTATGACACTCAAAAATAAGGTCCAAGATTTTATGAAATTAGAAAATTTGTTTGGGCCACTTCCGAAACATCCAATTCTATGAGATAAGAACAATAGATACCTGTTTCCTTACTTACTGAGGACTGATCACTTACGCCCCCCTCCAAAACCTAAAATCCTAATAAATAAACATCGACTAGGGTTAAGTAAAATAAAAACGAATAGGTATCTATTTATCATTGTTGTACTCGAGATGACTAAAATAAAATTTATAAATTCATAAAGTCCCAAACCTTCCTCATTATTTGTAAAGTAATTCACTCACATGCATTAAAAAATATATATACTTAAACTTTTTAACTTCAATATTAAAACTTTACAAACATCATAATTGCAATCAAGGCACACTAGTTTAATAGAACTTATTTTAGTTGGATGGAATATTTACTTAATGTATTATAATAAAGGACCTAAGTTGTTGTATATGAAATTTTTCATTAAAGATAATGTTAGGTTAAAATTTTGTGAAACTGCATTTGTTCAGTAAATTTTAAATAAAAAATTATTTGATAAACGTATTTCATTTATGCAGATGAATCGAATGAATATGTGTAAAGGGTTATGAATTTTGTATTTTATTGCAATCTATACTATATAAACAAATTGTATATGTAATAATAATCTCGCACTTATATGAGTTTTATAAAATTTGCAAGTTGAAAAGCTGTAAGCTATAAAAGCAAAACATTTTTCATGTATTTTATTTTTTTAAATTGTAATACGTTGGAAATTTATTATATTTCCATTCACAATCGTAACATAATAAATTACACGTTACATGGTTTAGTTACAAAATTTACTTAACAATAATAATAGTTTTCGTTGACGAAGTGACGATGAAATATCAGTAACTTTTCACAGCAAATGAAGCGTTTCTAATGAATTGAAAACGAGTAGTACGTACGTATTTGAACTAAAAATGATTTCGCGAAAAGTATCAATATGTACTTTGTATACATTGAAATATGTGTTGTCAAGATTTGTGTTTATACACTTAATTTAAATTTAAACGAAATTACACGGTATTAATTTGAAAAAATATGAATATAGATTAGATTTTGTGTAATAGTGGACTAAATAAATATCAGAAAATTGCATTGTGCGGTTTTTATAAAATAACACACTCGGTCGGGGTAACCACTCGGAGTATTTGTACTGGTGGATAAGTGTTTAGGTAATGACAAACAAAAATATAAATGCTCGTTAAGTTAGAGGAAAGGAATAGAAGTCTACAGGCCGTTACAAGCACACACGCCATTGGCGCAGTGTCGTCTCAGCTAATCCTAATGAATGAAAACATTTACACCGGACACATCAGAAGGTATTCTCAACATGAACTGTTAACGAGAGGAGGCGCATTTCTCCTATCGTTTCGGTGTCGGTAGCGCGTGCGAGTTTCGTGCACACCACTAACGTCTGTTATAATGTGGTTTGTGGGTGTAACGCGGTCGGGGGTGAGGCGCCTTTGTATATAACTTGTTGTCACAGGGTGTTAAGCCGCAGACGGCATTTAAAAACATTCACGACCATTCATTACACTGTGCGTATAGTACCGTTATTGTTTCATTACCACCTCATTCAGTGAGTATTACCGACCATTGAATATCAAAAAATATATATACTGCGAATAAAAAATAAAAAATATCACAAGTCCGAAATTGCCAGACCCGGTGACGACAAAAAAGGTTAGTCTCGAATAACTTACTTAAACAATACTATTGTATGATCCAAGAGACTTTAATTTTTGGTCAAATTAAAAATTATTTTAGCTAATGAGTATAAGAAAATATTCGAATAAAAAATATAAGAATACATTTTATAATTATAGACAATTAAATAATAAAAATTCATCGCTTGTGTCTAATATTACCTAAAATCAAAAATATTTATCTCAAAAAGCCATAAAGACCACCAAAAAAAAATTGTTATCAACGCTTGACACATTTACTACTAAAACAAACACTACTAAATTTTAATGGTTCATTTCAAATGCATTATTATTAAATCTGCTTGTAGATATTCGTTAAATGAAATTATGAGTTACAACATTCAACATGTAATAAAAATTTATATCAAATAGAATTAAGATAAAACCAAAAAAAAAAAATAGTTATGTATAATAACACCTAAAAACGGTTAAGCTTGTCATAAGTTTTTCTTCTTGAAACTCGGCGAATAAAATATAAAAAAAATGTAGCTTTTTGTATCAAATTTAGTTGCTATCAACGTTTTATATATTTTGAAGATTATCTATAATTAATATCCCTACTAATGCTAACACAATTTAGAAATTTCTTAACCTTGAAAACATAAACTGCATCACTATAAATAATTAAACATTTTTATTTGTAATTCATACTTAAAAATATATAAATAAAAACTATTCTGTTAAAAAAATTCTCAATAATTAAATTTTTTAAAGCCTTGAAACTTTTTTAATTTTTATTTATAATCCATAATGTTTGCATTATACATTTTTTACAATAAGTAAATAATTAATATTTCACTACATACTTAATTTTAAAACAATTTAAAGAGGATAAATGAATAGCTTGGAAAAGTTTCATCGCTGCACTAGGATTTAGTGAAATAAACTTAAAGAAATATAGCAATATAAAATAAAAATAATCTCTTACACGTTTCCAAAGTTTATAAATTAACATTTTTGAATAAATCTTAAATTGTTGAATCCATATTATTCAACAATTTTCTAGGCGATTATTACTAAATTCATAATAATTTTTCTATTTTTTTTATAATTTAATATAGTTAATAGCTTATCATATCATACTGATTGTTTATGATTAACCGACAACCGTTATAAATCATATAACTATTATCATCTTGTTAAAATTTCCTTTTTAAATAATAAATCTTTCTTAACTACGAGACTATTTAAAATAATAACATCAAATTATACAAGTATTCTTAACACTTAACTCCATTATGAAGCAATTTTTATATCAGTTCGAAAACATTAAAAATTCTTCTTTTTTTAACTTAAGGTAAAATTTTTTCCATAATAATTTGGTTGCTAGGGTAAATTAAATTACAATGTTTTTTATAAAAGCTATACACTACATTAATGGGCTGATACCACTCTTGTAGCTGTTATTTGTGGGTAGTTCATCAAAGTTTTCCACCTTTCAAAAATAATTCAAGTGAAAAATACTTTTATGATTTATTTAACGATGATAATATATGATTAGATTAAAAGTTTATCATTTGTTAATTTACTCGACTGAATAAATATGAAATATAATTTCCAATAATGTCACATCATTATCACTAAAGCCTTTAACCAAACTATTTGGGGTCCCCTCTACCATAGCGATTTTTTACGATATTTTACACCGTCTGTCGAACTGATGCAATTAATTCATAAGTACATTAAATTTTTACAATATGAATGTGATTTATTTTATATCATCATCACCATCTATAGAAATTATACAGAATGATCGGTTTATCATAAACCACTCAATTACTCTCAAAATAAATAAAAAATATTGTAAAACAATTTTTGGTTTTTTTTTAGTTACATATATTTCTTGAATTGTTAGCTAATAATTAATTTTTAGAATCACCCCCTATAATTTAAAAGGGTGTTAAATTTGTTTTTTAAAGGGAACATACATATTTAACTGACTTTTAAAATAAGGCGTAATCTAATTTAAATAATGACTGGTCAATAACATTTTTTGGATCAATATTTCAGAAGTTATTAATAATTTAAAGTAATGACTAGAAATGAAGAGTAGGTGTTGCTATTTTCATCACTAGTCATTTCCCGGCCGTACTTTTCGTTCGGTTTTGGTATAAAAATGAGAATAACATTCTAAGTACTGGTCCGAAAATTGTTATCAACCAGTCATTATCTTAATTAGATTTTTTTCTACTTTATAAGCTAGTTAAATATGTATGTTACCATTTAAAAAAATAAAGTTGACACCCCTTTGTATTAGAAGGGATGATCCTAAAAAATAATTAATGGATAATAAATCGAGAAATATATGTAACTATAAAAAACTAATATTTTTTTTTTACAATATTTGATTTATTTTGAGAGTAATCGAGTGAATAATTATAAAAATATATTGTTTTCAATTTTTATAAAAATGATATATTATACATTATTTTCATCCACAAAAAACCTGCGAGGTGATATCCAAAACTTTTCATTATTTATAAAATATTATATATAATCTTAGTACGAAACGTTAAATATTATTATAGACCCTAGAAAAATGTTCAACATTGGGTATCTAAAAATGCTAGTTACGCCTTTTTTAAAGCGTCAATTACTTTGAACTTCGAGACCATATAATAAAAGTTTTTTCGATCCAAGCTTAAAATGAAAAACGAAACTAGGAAAGTTAGATTTTTTACGATTTAGGGTACAATAAATTTGTATCGCCATTTTGTTTTTTCTATACTTAAAATGTTTTAAAATCGAATTGATAAACAGTAAAGTATGTTGAAATTTTTTGTGAATTTTGAGAATTCAAAATTGAAATTTGTTTCATTGTCTAAAAAGCTGAACTTCTTGTTTTTCTACTTACATAAAATTTTAACTATAGAACCAGTAGACAGCAATGAGTGTAGAATTTTTTTTTTTCAAAAATTATAAGATTTACTACTACTTAAATAACGTCACGAAGATATTTAAGCTTTCTCGAAGAGAGTGAAAGTACTTCTTTTGTGGAAAATTAAAATCATAATTTCATTTTTCATTTTTTATTTAAAAATATCATAAAATGTTTTATCATATAGACTTAGATCGTATTTGCTGAACACAATAGAATTATTTAATTTGTATAGTACAAGTTTTTATGTAACTTGCTTCTTATTGTTTGAAATACTAATCTCATTGGTCTAAATTTACTATTCCCATAAACCGCATAACTGAGATCCTGAATCTAACGCAGGCCACATTTAGAACATTTAAACAGTTCTATTAAAGTGTAAAGTCTCTAAATAGCTTAATTTATGACATATAAATCCTTTTTACTCATTGAAGATTTAAATCATGTTAATCAAACTTTGTTTACCACGAAACCGACAATATCCTTTTCTATTTGAATTTGTGTATGTGTATCTTATAAAAATAATTTTGAAAAGGGTCGAATATTTCAAGAATAAGTCATTAAACTTGTAAACAATTATTAATTTGTTGAAAAGTTCGTTAGAGTATATAATGATCTACAACAAAACAACTTACAATAATTAATTCTTGTAATAATAATACATTTTCGAACCGTCTAACTGTATAATAACTATTATTATACAGTGTGCCAATAAATCAAAAGAGTAGTGTAAATTCAGTACTATTCAATACTTCATAGAAATATTAAACATTTATCATTTATTAATGATGTCAATTTAATTAAATTAACAATTAGTGCATTTATTGATAAAAAAATATGCAACTTTCGTATTTGTGTTAAATTATATTGACATGTAGTGCATTATACGTAAAATTAATTGTTTTTTTTATTAATAATTTTAATTAATTCATGATTTAAAATCGTATAATTTTAACGAATAGACAAAAATTTTGCTAGTTAAAAAAACTCAATCTTATTTTAAACCTAAAATGTTTACTTACAAAAAATGTATTGAATGTTTTGCCGATAGTTAATACCGCTACTGTTATAGTAATGTAACGAATTCCAGTAAAAGCAATTAATACGAATTCAAAGGGAATAATTGGAGTTTCTTTAACTAAGCTAAACTACAACTGGCTATTTCTATAAACAATAACTAGATTAAGTAATATATTTTTTTCAAGCAGGATAGTAGTAACTTAGCGATTTATGAACTAAAATACTAAAACAAAAAAATATACAACACATTTACTAAACTAATGATATGATATTAATTGAATATTCATAAAAACACGAGTTTTAGGTAACGCAAATAATTTGTTTCCAATATAAACTATTAACTATAATCATTACTCGATTTTCACGGATTGATTCAATGGGTAAATTATGTATATGCTCATAATCAACAAATAATAATGTGAACTAACATCTAGTCAAGTTGAATCATTTTAGTTATTAATATAAAATAATATGTAACACAGATTTCGGCTAAAGCGATGCAGACAAATATTTATTACCTTGATTAGAGACCATTCCTTAATTGAAGTTCAATTAACTTCTGATGATATTTGTATTTAAATTGACTGGCCAATTTTACACTATAGTAGAATTCCGATAATCCGGCACGTTCGGGACCGGCTCCGTGACGGACTATCGAAAATTTCGGTCTATCTGGCGGTGCCCTTTCCTTTTAGTGTAGGCTTTGCTATAAGAACAATTAGGTTAATAATTAAACGAAAAATACAGTATGCAAATACAAAAAAGTTTGTTTTACATTTCATATAATTTATGTGCAAGTACTGTAATACATATTTCATTTAAAAAAGTCACGAGTGTCGTTTGTTTTCTTGATTTTTGGCGTTTAGTATAACATTTTTATCTAATAATTATGAAGATCAATAATTTCTGAAGCACTGTAGCTAGTACTGAAACACAGTTTACTACAATGTAAAAGGACACAAAACAACAACGCACAAAAAAATAGCGAAGACGCTTCGTGATTGATTAACTGTACTGCACCTGTATTTGTTGTGATAGCTGAGACTAGCCGGCCGTGTAATACAACTTCCTGTTATCAA